AAAAAGCCGAAGCGTGGGACGACCAGCGCACACACTCTCATTGCTCCCGTAAAGCAAAAAACACACAGAGGCAGAGAGTGAAGGATTAGTGTGTGTGCGGGCGGTGCACGGCACTCTCTCCCTCACTCTCACGCGGCCACCACAGCAACAGCCGCACACGCAACAAGAAGAAGAAGCAAAAGAGGGGAGGTGGTGTGGGAGACCGCGGTGCTGCCGTCGGTGTCGTCAGTCTCGTTTGTCTCACGTGTTCGGGTGGTGTTCGCCGGTGACTTCTCGGAATCCCCCTGAGTGGCCGTCGGTGTGGAAGTGGCGTTACCAGCTGGGCGTGCTTCATGTGTTTTTGCGTCGTCGGTCGGTGTACGGCTGCTCCTGTCAGCCAACTCACCACCACCACCAGGACCACCGCCTGTGGAGGCCGGCGCTTCAGACAGCTGTTCATTATTGACCGGATCTGTCTGCGGGGGTTTCACAGGCTCTGGTGCAGCACCTGGTGATCCTTGCGCCTGCCCCTGCAAAGCGCTGGCAGCAGAACTTGACGACGGCAATGGCGAGGCAAAAGTGGCGTCTGTGGTTGCGGCTGCAGGCCGGCCACGAGAGGTGACGCCGGAAATCCCAACCGCCGTTTTGTTTACGCATTTCTCAACTTCTGTATCGTTGTGCGCGGGTAACGTGGCATTTACACTCGTAATGAAAGACATTCGACAAGATAATCGAATCGACTCCAGCACTTCCTCTGTGAGCTTTTCGATGGCCTTAGTCACCTCCTCTGGAGTCATCGTTTCCTCCGCATTGTCACGATGCGGAGCACTTGATGAAGTCTGCGTCGCATCACACAACCAGGCACCGCACCACAGCACGCAGAGGGCACACACCAGCAGCACACGGCCAGCCATCATCATCGCCATCACTCCTGTCAATTGCGTGCAGCCTTCAGCACAAACTAACAACACGTCAACGCAGAGTGAAAGCAAAAAAAGAGACAAGTCACGCAGCCACGCACAGTACCATCCAGCAATAAGTGTCAAATGGCAGCAGCGGCGCACACACACCATGAGTCAATAGGAATCAGTGGGAGGACAAAAAAACACACACAGCCTCGCAATAGTTGATCAGCAAGAAAAACACACAAGAAACAATTAAAAACGAAACAACACTTGACAAACAGCAATAAAGTAAAAACACACAAAAAAGCTGCACCAAATGGCTCCAGTGTGCATGCACTCACACGCAAACATGAGTCCACGCAAACAGTTGTAAGCGTGCCATGCATATGAGTTTGTCCGGGAAGCGTTCAACGTGACGGATACAGGTAGCAGCAACGCGGAACACACAGCAGAGCAGCTGAATCAAATGAAGCAAAAACAAAATCATTACTTATTTATTACGAAACAAAAAAAAGAAGCGCAAAAATACACGTGGTTGAGTGCTGGCACGCACAGCCCGCACACTCCTCTTCAGCCGATAGTGGTGTACGCCAGCGCGGATAAGGCGAGCAGCGGCGGGGCACACACCCACGCAGAGCTGCTGAGGCTGCCGTCCATTTCGCGAAGACGTGACGGTGCGCGGGTGGTCGTCGTTGTTGGCACCTCGGGCGCAGTGGCCGTTGTTGTGGTCGTCGTGGTCGTAGTTGGTGCATTTGATTCCTTATGTTGTTCATTTGACTTGTTAGTGTTCGTATTTTCAGTCCCTTCCTCAGTGGATTGACCATCTTCGTGTTCTTGATCCTGTGTATTATTGGAAGTATTTTGTGACTCTGCCGTTCCGTTTACTGTAGCCGTTACCTGTGACGTATGAGTCGGCGTATTTGGTTTCCGTTCCTCCTTCCCTTCCATCTCCTCTCTTGTCTGTGGCAAAGGAGAAGTTACACTCTGCGGATCCGTCTCCTGACCTGGTTCCCCTTTCTCGCCATCCTTTGAACCAGATTCACCAACTTCACCTTCACTTGTTGGCACGCACACGTACGGGCAGCAGCACAGGGCGAGCACCAACAGGACGCACAGCAGACGGCACGTCATCATCGTGAGGGTGGTCGTTCAGTGGTGTGGAGCTGATCTGCACAGTCAGGGACATGGAGAGCAACAGGGAGACGAGAGGTGCGGCAGACACACACAGAGGGCACACCACATGAGGAGAGGGCAGCAGCCAGGCATGCACCGTACGCCGCACACCACGCACGACACACACCCCAATCCACGGCAGCAGGCACACACACAGCCCTGCCGCAGCACCAACACACAGATGGAAGAGGGAGAAGCAAACAGGAGCGGCACACAAGGCTCCACCGCATGTGCATACGGCGAGAGCGGTCCGTCGTGTCGGCACCCCTCACGGAGGGCACGCACACACACAAGAGGAGGTGCAGCGCACACAGCAACACAAAAGCAAAGTAACAATGAAAAGAATGATCCCCGCACACCACGTGGATTGTTGGTCCACGGGAAGCGCAGCCAATATTCATCACAAAAAGATGTATTTTTTCCTCTTCAATTTATTTTGTGACAGCCATGAGTGAATAGCGAAAAGGCTCCCCGTACAAAAGTGACAACCATTCAGTCCTAAACAGGCCTTCGTGCAGGCTGGGACAGTCCAAACAGTCACAGTCCATATTATCAATGACAGGACATTACCAAAGTGGATGAGGCGGAGTCTCCCGTGGTCCGTCGTTGATGAGCAGCCCGTGGCGTCTGTGATCAAGCGGTGGCGGAAGAGCCTGGTCCATCTCGAGTACCCGCGTTTGTGCTTCCTGCGTGCCTTGCCTACTGGCATGCTTGGATCTTCGGTGGCGACCTGCGCACGAGGCGCCTGCTAAGAGGACGGTGGCGCCATTGTGGCATCCGCATGTGAGGCCTGTCAAACTATTTGAACGCCAGGCCGAGCACGTCGTACATGTGCCGTCACGCTGCGGACAAACGGGCGCACCCTGCCGCAGATTGGGCAGGAGAATGTCAATCCGCCGCTCGCTGGCAGGCAAAAATTTGCGGCGCTTTCGTCTAGAAGAGGTTCCGGCGGAGGCAGTGGCGGGCCGGTTTCCTCAGTAAGAAAGGGAAGGCACCACCGACACAGGGAGTAACTTGTGATCCGCAGGGCGCGTGCAGGCCTGTCGAATAGGGGGCAGGAGTCGCATAGCGCCTGCGCGGCGATCCGCCACTCGGGCACGATGTCCGGGTCAACACCAGGAATAGAGTTCCGCCACACCGACAAGCGCCTGTCATGCGGTGTGCGCCTTCCTTTTCCTCCTGGAATTTATTTCAGTACAGTCGCCTGACTGCGGTGAGGAGGCCCACGCGCCAGGCATTGACGCAGTCCTGCGGGAGGGATCGTGCAATGACGGCATCAGCGTCCGCTGTCACGTTGCGTGGGGCTCCGCAGTGCCATGGTGAAAATGTGGAGCCAACAGTGCGAACTCGATCCACCAGCGAATGCGGCATCATGCTAATCTTCTCGGTGACGCCGTCGTGCCCCGCCAGCGAGCCAAGACGGAGTGACTCCATCGCCGAGAGGGAGTCTGTGGCGGCAGGAACTCGAGTGGGCGATCGGGATGCTGCTGCCAGACGGGGAACTGTCTGCGGCCATGCTCAGTGGCAGGACACTCCGCTCGGCAGGAGCACGCAAGGCTGCCAGCAGCTGCGCGGTGAGGCCCCACAGGGAGCTCGATTGTCCGGGGAGTAAAGTGGCAGCGCGGCGGATCCAGACGCATTCTCAGCGAGAGACGACGAGCCGTCCGTCCAGCGGCCTGCGTCATACAGCTCCGGAGAGGCGCGGGCCGCTTCAAGGGCGATCGTCTGACACCGTCCAGGGCGTCCTTGGCATGCCGTGGCTGGAAGACGCCCACCCCGTTACGGCTCACAGTGTCCAGATGACAATTCGCTGCCCAGCATGAGGGGCGCGGATTTGGTGCGGGGAGATCCCCATGTTGCCGCAGAAGCGTCGCGGTTCCTTGAGGACGGCATCTCCTGGAGCGGATAGTCTTTGCCGTCTTCCCAAGTATTGACTAAACTGTGTTTTCCGAGCATATCACGCCACGCACGTCCTCAATATATCGGAGAATTGTGAGGCGTTCGTGTTGTGTTGGGTGTGCGGAACCCAATGATCCTCCGCAGCGGTGCTGGATTAATTTCCATGTGGACAGAAGTATCCTTCTTTGATGCGCGTGGTCCGAGCGATGCCGTGCAGCTGTCGCCGTGCCGCACTTCCGGGCTGTGGAGGTGAATGGGGACCGGACACGGAGCGATTGCCTCGCCGCCGTCGTGCAACGCTCTGTGGACTCATCCAACCAGAAAGGACTGCATGGTGTGCTGGGACGCACCAGATCCTGCGTCCAGCCGCAGCTGATGGCAGCGTGGCACGGTCTACTTTGGTGTCTGTGTGAGGAATTTTGCTGTTTTTAAATTTTGGTGCGGACCGATGGTGTATTGGTGTTTTCTGATTCGGTAGAAAAATTGCGTTTTGAAGAAGCCGTTGCAGGTGTTCAGCGTCGTCGTGAATAACAGATGTGCGTCTGCCTCCGTGAAGGCGACAACAATGTCCTCGGATTACAACATAAGGCACTGCGGCTTAATCTGGTGTTTCACAGCAATTTTAATGGACAGGGTATTTGATTTGTGGTTATTGGGTCCTTTGTGGGAAAGGTGGGAGGTTGAGGGCATGAGGACTGAATTCATTGAGTGGCTGCGTTCCGTTGACTTGCGGCCAGTCGTGGCACTCTTTTTGGGTTTGGTGGCTCGTCTCTTTTGTTTACTTCCCACTGCAGCACGTGGATAACGCTGATCCGAGGAACATTTGTTTGACTGCGTGTGGGCTGCTGCCGTGCGTGGTGCATGGACTATGTGATTGTGTGGGGAGGTGCGTTGGGGTGACGAATACTTCTGTTTGGCGCATCGCGGTGTGTCGGAATGATGTTCGGATGACATGTGGAGGGCGTTGCTTGTGATTTGTGTATCTTCTCTGGTGGAGCCGACATGTGTGCGGGGATTGTGGCATTGCTGGCTGACAGCTCCACGTCACTTTTCGGCATTCCTGGATGTGCTGAGGAATGACGGCTGGCGACCAGCGTGTTGGTGCTGCTGGCGGGAATAAGTGCATCGGGAATAGGCCATTTTCTCTTTTCCGTGCTGGAGCCGATGAACTGGCACGAGGGCACCGGCTGCAGGCTGCCTGCCAGCACGTGTGAGCAGCGGATCCATGCACACACCGACGCCCATCGCAAGAGCGTGTGCGATCACGGTGGCCTTTTGTGGCGTGCTTTTGTGGGCGTCAGCCCATCGAAGAATGTGTGAAGCAAACGGCTGACTGCACACGAGGAAAATAAGTGCGTGCACTGTGCCGTGTTTCAGCGTTGATGGCAGGGCGAAAGGAGGCCCGTGCTGCAACTGAGATCTTTGCGTCGCGAGGGATGTCGGTGTTGATTTTGGATCGTCGAGGGTGAAGTGATTTTGCTGCTGCCCGTGTGTGTGGCCACTCCGGCAGAGGACGGACACAAAAGGGAGGGATGCAGGCGCTGCGTGTGTGTGTGCGCAGGTGCCATGCAACAACGTCACAGCAAACATGCTGCGACTCGGTGACCCTCACATCGTTGTGGTCCTCACGAACAGCCGAGGCACGGCCCACACCGATGCAATTAGTGGACGGAGTGAGGCATCTTTTGAGGTGCTGCAGGGAACAGGATGTGTTGACGCAGCCACGACGTGCATGGAGTGTCACGATGGCACAGTGAGCTGTGGCTGGTGGAATATTTACTTCTCGGAGGCAACGGAGAGAGAGAGAGCTGCTCCTGCTGCTGGCGTCGTTGCTGCCCCTTGTGGCCTCCCATGCCGATTATTGTCTGTCCGCTGATCATGGGTGGTGTGCCTCCACTAGTGACGTCGTCTGCAGGCATTTCACAGCACCAGTGAAACACACATCACGTCGCATGCTTTGGCTGTGGACATGGTGTCGTGAGTGCAGCCGGCATTGTTTTGCCCGACTCCTTTTCACTGCATTGCGACGAATAGACGCGTCTCCGCCCGAGTCATTCACAGCAGCTTCGCGTGTTTTGTACTGCCAGCACAAGACTCTCTTGTTGTCTGACGCCTGGCTGACAGTCAAGCACCACAGCGTTGGGACATGCAAGGATGTGGACTGCCGCTCACGGTGTTGGGCACCGCTGTTTGGATGCGGCGGCCACACGAGCGGATGTATTGTGGCACAATCAAATGCGTGAAGTACGCGGAATCACAGCGGCTGCAATAATATCAGCGGTGTGGCACCACGGAATATGTGAGAGGGTGATGCATGATGAATCACAGTGGGCGGCATGCGAGGGAAGTGCACCGCGACGGAGCGTCATCCCGCCCTCAGCCTGCGTGGGAATGTGCACCCACAAAACATATATGGACGAGGCACCACCAAACACACATGCCCTTCTGTGCACCAACAAATAGGAGCGAAGGTGCGTTCTGGTGTGTGGGAGTCCACTCACATATTTTCATTTTCACCGCAATAAACGGCGAGGAATCAGGTGCCACAGCAGCGAGAGGAAAAACAAACATCTATTGCAACACTTTACCAGCGAAAGGCAGGAACAACACAAACCGAATTATTGGCTGCACCAACACAAGAAACATTCACAAGATGGGAAAACAAATAATTGTGCACCCTGCAGAAATCCCCAACACACGATCCAGGCATGAAGTTTTGCCCTCCGCAAAAACAAAACAACGCATGCAGACATCTGCCAACATCCAAACAGAAACGCAAACAAATGGCTGCTTGCTTTATGCCATTCCCTGCGCTTATTTTTGTGTGTGCTGCTGCTGCAGTGGTTTCCAGACCTGTATGAAGTGGTGTGCGCTGAATATGAACGAAGACCAAAGGCAAATGAATTATTTTTGTGAAGAATATTTGCTGCAATTCCCGTGGGCCAACAATCCACGTGGTGTGCGGGGATCATTCTTTTCATTGTTACTTTGCTTTTGTGTTGCTGTGTGCGCTGCGCCTCCTCTTGTGTGTGCGTATCCTCCGTGAGGGGTGCCGACACGACGGACCGCTCTCGCCGTATGTGCATGCGGTGGAGCCTTGTGTGCCGCTCCTGTTTGCTTCTCCCTCTTCCATCTGTGTGTTGGTGCTGCGGCAGGGCTGTGTGTGTGCCTGCTGCCGTGGATTGGAGTGTGTGTCGTGCGTGGTGTGCGGCGTACGGTGCATGCCTGGCTGCTGCCCTCTCCTCATGTGGTGTGCCCTCTGTGTGTGTCTGCCGCACCTCTCGTCTCTCCTGTTGCTCTCCATGTCCCTCACTGTGCAGATCAGCTCCACACCACTGAACGACCACACTCACGAGGATGACGTGCCGTCTGCTGTGCGCCCTGTTGGTGCTCGCCCTGTGCTGCTGCCCGTACGTGTGCGGCAGAGAATGCGGGGGTCAATAAAGCTCAAGTTGATGGTAAAGACTCCAGTGAATTGTCCCATGCACCTGGAGTAAAACCAGCCACGAAGGTCGGTGAGCAAGGTGAGTCAGTTCCGGGGCCGGTTACTGAACGGCGAAGCGAAGTCGGACATGGTGGAGGTGCGCCCAATCCACAACCGCAACTAAGTGCTGCTTCCAATGAGTTACAAGAAGGTACGAATGATAAGAAAAATACAGAAAGTGGCACGAGTTCGTCCTCAGAACAACGAAATAAGAGTGAAGAAGATTCCGCCCAGAAGACCACGACGACCACGACTACACAGGCACCAAGCGCTACAACAGGGGCGCCAACCACGACGACCACCCACACACCGTTACGTCTTCGCGAAATCGACGGCAGCCTCAGCAGCTCTGCGTGGGTGTGTGCCCCGCTGCTGCTCGCCGTATCCGCGCTGGCGTACACCGCTGTGGGCTGAAGAATTGTATGCGGGCTGTGCGTGCCAGCACTCGACCGCGGGGATTGTGCGCGTCTACTGTGGTCCATTGTAAGTAGCTAAATACGAGAAAATAATGATTGTGTTTTGCTTCATTTGCTTCCGCTGCCCTGCTGTGTGCTCCGTGTTGTGCAGCCTGTATCCGTCACGTTGAACGCATCCCAGACACACTAGTATGCACGACACGCACACGAATGTTTGCGAGGACGCATTTTCTTTGTGCTGTTGCGTGCGCACTGGAGTAATTCGGTACGGGATTTTTTAAAAGTTTATTGCTGTTTCGTCACTCCCGTTTTTTTAAATTGTTTTCTTATTAGTTGCTGCGGGGTGTTTTTTGTGTGTTTTCCCCCTTCACTGATTCCAACTGCCTCATGTTGTGTGCAAGCTGCTATTATTTGTTGCTGTACGGTGTAGCGGCCGTGTCTCTCTCCTTTTCCTTTTGCTTTCACTCTGCTTTGACGTGTTTTTAGTTTGTGTTGAAGGCTGCACGCAAGTGACAGGAGTGATGGCGATGATGATGACTGGCCGTGTGCTGCTGGTGTGTGCCCTCTGCGTGCTGTGGTGCGGTGCCGCCGGTAGGTGTGACGGGGAGGAGACGGCAGCTCATGGTGGTGGTGAACTTCTGGTGCGATCACAAGAAATTGTAACTTCTCCAGAAGGATCCCAGGGCTTAAAAGGAGGAGTAACAGTTGTTACAGAAAATGTAATACCCGAATCTTCCCCTCCTAAAGAGGATGAAGAGGATGATGATGAAGATGGTATTGGAGAGGATGAAGAGAGTGACGAAAGTGCAGGGACGAAAGAGGATGAAGAAAGTATAGAGGGACAGAGTGATAAAGAAGGAAAAGCTGCACCAGACCCAGGTTCCGGGGAAAGGAATTTAAGTGGAAGCAGGCAGGAAAAGAACCAGGCAATTGTACCTGCAGGGGGCATTTCTCCTCCCGGCAGTCAGGAATCAAAAGCCAATTCTACGCAAACGGAAGTTGAAGGAAAGAAGGACGCCGACAAGAGACCACCATAAGCAGAGAACGCACTCACACCAGTTAATGGAGAGCAAACACTGCTTGGGGGCATTGCGGGAGGAAATCCTCCATCATCTCCAGAAGAAGGTTTTGATTCCCGCAAACAGGATGGCGAAGACACCACTAGTGAAGGTGAAAAAAATGATCCGTCGCCTGAGACTGCAGACACACCACAAAGCCACCGAGACAACGGCTCAGAAGGGACTGGGGAAGATACAAAAGCAACGACAGTAACCGCCAACACAACTGATACGACGAACACACAGAGCAGTCACGACAGCACCGCGGCCTCCCACACCACCTCCCCTCTTTTGCTTCTTCTTGTTGTTGCGTGTGCGGCTGCTGCGGTGGTGGCTGCGTGAGAGTGAGGGGGAGAGAGCCGTGCACCGCCCGCACACACACTCGTCCTTCTCTCTCTCTGTGTGTGTGTCCCCTTGCATGGACTCTCGCCCTCACCTCACCCCACGAGGCACACACAATAATGTGCCCATTGTATATATGCATGCACACCCATGCAGACCCTTTGGTGCTCTCTTTTGCATGACACGCACCGCTGCCGTCCTGCCTGGCTGCATGGGCGGAGCACCGTAACTGTTTCTGTTTTTATTGCATTGAGTGGGCGACCTCTCTCTCTCTCCCTGTGTGTGTGTGTTTTGCTTTACGGGAGCAATGAGAGTGTGTGCGCTGGTCGTCCCACGCTTCGGCTTTTTTATTGTTTTTTTTTTTAATTTTTTTAATTTTTTTCCTGTTTGCTTCAAAATTCTTTTTTCATTTTTTGTTTGTTTGTTTTTCCAACGTCCCCCATCCCCTCTTTTTTTTTTTCTTTTTTCATTTGGGGCAATCACTGTGGACGGTTTTTCTTTTCTACTCTTCCCTCTTTAATTGTCTGTTGCTGCACTCTTCCTGTGAGGGGTGCCGTGTGTTTCCGCCCAACTGCTCCACTCGCACACCCACCGACACGCTCGTGACGACGGCCCTGTGCGCCTCGCCTGCTGCACGCATGAGGAGGGGCCGCGACGAACGGCGCGCTGAGGGAGCCGTGACGTGTGGGCGTGCGACGAGGGCCTGTGGGGCGGAGCACACATTTCTTTCCCTCTTGTTTTGTTTTCTTGCGGTCAGGGCGGGCAGACACCCGCAGCGCCACACACACAGCCACACCCTGCCGCCTTGTTTTTGGGATTATTTTGCTTTTCGTGTTCATTTCACGCGCTGGCAGTCCCTTCGGTGTCGGCCTCGTGAGCATTTCTCTCCCCTCCGATGATTTCTTTTTTTTTGCTGCGCTCACTCTCCCGATGGAGTGACGCGACCGCCGTCATGTCTGCGTGCTTCTCTCAGTCCCCACACACACGAGTGACTGTGCTCTGCGGGCCGCACTCACACGCCGATGGGAGGGCTGAGGGGAGCAGCAACACGCAGATGACCCCATGAAATATGAACGATGTGCGGACACACAGAGGGTCGGACGGTTGAAAGGCATTTAAATATCTTTTATTTTTATTTGCGGACAAAATATGCAGACAGTTTGGTGTGGCCACACGGCAGCCGGCAGCTTTTTTAAATTTGTGTGGAACAGTAATGGACGATTTCTTTTTATTTATAATTATTTCGTGTGATGGGGTTTGTATAAGACGAAGGGAGAGCTTTTTTTTGTT